TACATTGATATAATTTGCGGAAAAGGTTAATTTGGGGTGAAATATGTGTTTTTTAGAGAAAAAATGCTGAAAACTGGAAAAGAAGAAAAATTGTTATTTATGGTTACATTTTTAGACCTAAAGCTTGTTGAAGACGGGAAACCTTATCTTAATAGAGTATTATGTAGTCCTCTAGTTATTATTATTATTCATAATGAAGTAATTTTGAGGTGAAATGAGTGATTTTTAATGAAAAAACGCTGAAAACTGGAAACGTAGAAAATCTCCGTTGTTAATGGTTAATATTTTTGAAATTTGATCTATATAAAAAAAAGAACATACTATTTTATGTTTTATTTGTGAAGTCCTTTAGTTATCTATATCTATATTTTGGTAATTTTGGTTGAATATATGTTTTAAGACCGAAAACCCGGAAAACTGGAAATGAAAATATCTCGCTTATTGATGGTTAACACTTTCAAAATGGGATCTTAACAGAAAATAGAGAATACTATCTAATGTTTATCTTAAGGAGTCCTATAGTTATTAGTATTTAAAAAATGTCATTCTTGTGTAAAATGTGATTTGTAGAGAAAAATTGTGAAAATGGAAATAAAAAACTCGATTATTCATGGTTAAAACTTTTAACATAGGATCTTTATAGACAGAGGTTAAAACTTTTAACATAGGATCTTTATAGACAGACTATATTATCTTATGTTTATCGCATATGTATTCCTCTTGTTATCGATATCAATAATAATCAATTTGTTGTGTGAAATATTTTGTTTTACACACTAACTACAAAACAAGAATATATCCATAGTACACGGATGCCCCACCCGCACTATCATTTTCTATGTTCAGTGGACTCTGAAATTGGGTCAAAACTCTAATTTGGCATTAAAATTAGAAACATCTTATCATAGGGAACATTTGTACCAAGTTTCAATATGATTGGACTTCAACTTCATCAAAAAATACCTTGACCAAAAACTTTAAAAAAAAACTTTAATCTGAAGCAGGACAGACGGACGAACGAACAGACGCACAGACAGAAAAACATAATGCCCCTAAGTGAGGGGCATATAAAATGAAAATTTTAAAATCTTGGTTATTTCTAGTTTGATTTTTAAAAACGAAAAATGGAGAATGGAAACAGGGAATGTGTCAAAGAGAAAACAAGGCCACTAATGGGTCTTTAACATAGCAAGTAAATCCGGCACACGGATGTGGGCTTCACCTGACCCCTTAATTATTTTGTACACTAGTTCAGCAAAGTGGACACCACCCTAAACTCCAGTACATACAAATGAACCAAAATTATCACCAAAAAAAAAACACACACAAGACAAACAAAGGCTAGAGGTTCCTGACTTGGGATAGGTGCAATAATGTGGCAGGGGTAAAACATGTTGTGTGAGAACTCAACCCTCCCCTAGTTTCTCTAGACAATATAGAATTAACAAACACACAGTCAAACTCAGTTTTAAATATGTGCATTTTGTGGGAGTTTGAAATTTTATCCTATGTTTCGGTTATGTATTTATAGTAATTATACGTGTAGGTATAATAAACAAAAAATGATTGTGTTAAAAAATAACTGCAAATCAGTTTGGTAACTGACTTTAATTTTGTCATGTAATTGTTGATTGCTGGAAAAGTCATTTTTCTAGTGTCCTTGCATCGTCATTGACTGTAGTCCTTTTTGTGTATTTTTTCATTAGCTACTTTTACAATATTTGAATTGCATAAAGTCACAGTTTAACACAGACGATGCGATTGCAGATTTCTCTTAATGTGTTGCTTATTTTATTTAGCAAGCTCTATCAATATCCACGTTTAATTTCAGATGTATAAGTTTTTTTAATTTAGGAACATATACTAGTTCACTGAATTAGCATTAAAAGAGGGGCAAAAGATACCAGAGGGACAGTCAAACTCATTGATCAAAAATTAAATGTAGATCTGAAATTGTTTAAGGCAATTTCAAGAGCAGCTTTATCAGTACGATTATAAGTTTACCTCAAGAGTTTGAATTTAGATAGTAATTGTACTAAAGTGGTCCAATTTTGGATGTTGAAAATGAGATAAGCACTGTTGAATGAATTAATGGGATCACTTCCTGGAGGAAGTGTTAATAGCAACAACGCCTTATGTGTGTACCCTATAAACATGCATGTATGTGGTGGTCTGAAACATCAACCAAATGGTAATGACAAAGAACTAACATGGGTTGTCTGCTATATGAAAATATTATGGTCAAAGATAATATATATACTTACTAGTATATAAAGAAAAGCATTACCAAGTTCTTTATTTAATATATCTTATTGAATTAATTTAATGAAAGGTAATCAGCTTTAGCCTAAGAACTGTAAAAAAAAATAACCATGCATCATCTGTGTATGAATTAAAATTTGTAGTGTCTGTGGGCGACTTTGATGGCCAGAGATAGCGTTTAGTTAGTCATGTCTAATCTGAAAGTATGTCTGTTGGTTTTTGTTAGTCGTTTGGGTTGCTTTCTCGTTGACTTTAAAAACCTCAAATCTCTCTTTATTCATAAATATACTCTATTACAGATATATCAATGTTAAAGACGCTGTTTTCTGCTTCCGGAATGCTGACCTGTATTCAACTCATTTGAACGAAACTATAAAAATATTTTAAAAAATAAAACCTCATGCCAAAAGAATATAAATGTTTAGCTTTTAAGGTCCACTAAACTCTATCAGTGATCTCTTGGTAGTAAGTTTGATCGCTTGCCAATGAAACCATCACTTATTATAAAGTCTCCCCACTTTAAAAACATAAGAAGATGTTGTATGATTGCCAATGAGAAAACTTTCCACAAGAGATACCAATGATGTGGGTGTGGATGTAAACAACTATAGTACATTGTCAAAATATAAAACAAGTCAAACGAGAAACTCAATTAAAGGCCTGATTAATGTTAAAACAATAAACGGAAAAACAAATATGACAGACACCAAACAATAACAACCAAGTAATAAATGGCCACTGAATTGTGATAATCATATTCATAGTGTGCAAGGTTAACCCTGTTTGCGAGCACTCAACCCTCCAATAATCAGGAACAGTTTTTATTTAGGGGCCGGCTGAGGACCACCTCCTGGTGCGGGATTTTCTCGTTGCGTTGAAGACCCATTGGTGGCCTTCGGCTGTTATCTGCTCTTGATCTGGTCGGGTTGTTGTCTCTTTGACATACAGTATTCCCCATTTCCATTCTCAATTTTATTTAAATAGCAAACAACGTAAAAACAAATTGTAAAACCCAGTTGGAAAGGGCTCAACTCAAAAAGACCAGCACGGAGTATATAACCAATTAACAAAAAGACACTGATTTATCATAGTTAGTTCAAAGCTTAGTAATTACAGTTAATAAATAAATACTATTGGCACCGAAAAAAATATACATCCTACTAGTAACCAAGGTGAAAAGTTGATTCAGTGTTACAGTCATAGCTTTATTTATATAGTGTGTGAGTACTGAGATCGTCGCAAATTACATGAGTAGCTATTTGCTTCGAGGAGCCTGAAATTTTCATTTGTGAAAAAATATTTAACATAAAATTATTTAACACTCATCATTCTTATTTTTTTATGAAACATTGTTGGATTCTAAATCTTAACATGTTTGTTCCAGAACGTAAATGAAAAAAATATATTGTTTTCTTTCTAAAGTTGTGGAGAAAAAATACATTAAAGACATTGAATCTTGCAAATAACATTTTTTTTATAAAGAACAAAACATGTGTTTCTGGAACATAAAATAAACTGTCTGTGCCTTTAATACAGGGGCAGAATTGTTTCAAATACCCAGTAAGAATGTGACTAAGTAGGTTACTCTAATTCAGTATAGTTTTCCATTTAAAGGTTACTTACCAACACTATTTTGGAGAATTAGATTCTTGAATTGTAAAATAGCAGAACACAATCTCGGTCTATATCTTTATTCAAATATACAAATTTTGAGACAGGAAAGTGATTCATTTGTAATATTATTCTTTTAAATTGAAATAATTATGTATTGTATTGTATTATTTCAACTGTTTTAAAAAATACAGAACATTTTTTTGTATAATTTTATTTTTTTCAACTTTGGCAAATAAGGGGAAGCAACTCATATAACCTTACTTTTACTACAAAACATTTTTATAAATTACACCACTTTCCGCAAAATAGATTTCTGTATAGTTTTAGTATGTTGTTCATAGATAGTAACAGACTTGTTTTTCAGAGAAAAACTTTGTGTTGCAATTAGTTGCAGGTTGTTCACTAAATTGACTAGACTATGACGTTACGATCATTTCGACGTTTTGTGGTATTTTTTCACATAGAACACCACTTTGAATGATGTATACCTTAAAAATGAGGTCGGAGACCCTATCATTATTTTACATTATTAAAACGGAAATTTATGTATCAACATTTAAGAAAAATCTATGTATTAGAAATTAGAGATTTTATGATTTTAAGACAAATTTAAGAAGGTTTTTCGCCAATTTTATGTGCTATCTATACAAATGTTAATCTATTTTGAAAGAATTCAATCAGTAATATTTCAGATGATAAAGGAGATAAATGCATTATTTTTTCGATTTTCATTTAGAATTCAACGAGTCACAGTTGTATGCAAAATTTTACGAAAATCTGTGACATAGCCCATTTACTGTAACTTGACCTTAAATTTATTTATGAATTTTTCTAGATTGACGTTTTGAATAGTCAGTAACTGTTGTCAACTGCATGTTGAAAGACCTATTTCAAGATTACATTTGTGTCTAGTGTTTCAATGGGCTGCTGTCACTTTCATATACGATCTTATTTTATTCAAATTACTCATCCGTTTGTGATCAGTGTTAAGAACGACTTAAAGTCCATCGTCTTATTAAAGTAAATAAACGAATTTGACCCAGTGTTTTAACCAAGGCGCTTAAAGATTATCATCGTCGGATGTAACTGCTTGAATGTGTATTATTACGGGATGTCATTTTATAAATCCTTACTTACAACTCTTAACGAACGACGTTCAAATGTAATTTAAGTACCATCTGGTGAAAGGTATCGTGTGAGTTTTAAAGTATGAACAATTCACCTCACCACCTATTATTTTAACTTGATTCTGAAGTAAATAGTAGACCAGCGTATACTGAAATAGATAGAATGGATAATATGGGTATGGACGAACATCTGATTGAAAGTCAGAAACGCACATTCTGGGTTCGTAATAGAACATTGATATACACTGCTGGTGGTTTGATTGTTGGATGTTTTGTAACAGTTGGAATAAGTTATCTTTTCTTCTCTCTTGGGAAGAACAATGCACAAGGAAATGTTCAGACAAATGGTGAGAGATTTTTCATTTTTCTATCTACTCTAAAAAGAAATAACATTCTTCTACAAGCAACACTACTGTCACAGATTCCGTGGTTCAATTGTTGCCGTTTTTCTTGGCATGAAAGTTATTTTAAACTAATTCACTACTGATTAAATCGTTATGCAAGAGAATACGTTAACAATACGGCATATTTTGATTTGTTCATTAACTGTTTGATCCAGGTCTGTAAACAAAAGTCACGTGATCGATTTAATTATGTTAGATAGAATGATGTCATCAAATACTAAAACAGAAGTTCTATTATTTCAAAATATCAATGAGTCCGGAATGATGGAGATTTTGTTTTCACTAGTCGTGCCTTGAACATGTTTAAATGAAGTATATGTCTATTATTTCGATTGACATTTCTTTAGATGCGTTTAGGCCACACTACCCGTTAAATGACAATACCATATACTCATTAGTATCCGCATTACATTGAAAGTATGAGCTGTAAAAAGAAGAATTATTCACCTCTGAAATAACGACCAAGGAAAAACAACAATCTACTAAACTTAACTTGAAAAACTAAAGACACGAACACCTCTTATATATAAACTTCTGTTGAATTGGAAAGTTTTCTCCACAACGATAAAGCAATTGGTAAATTTGAAAAAAAAAGTTTATACATGTACTGTATTTTTTAAATTATCATTTTTAATGCATATATTTTAATCCTGATTTCTCACAGTAATAGCAATCTTGTGACATTTCAAGGTCATGGTGACCTTTGACTATACTGTTTTCAAGCATTAATATAAACTGCAATAAGCACTGATGACAGGTACTGAATATAAGTCAAGGACTTGTTTTTTTTGGTTTTGTTTACGTTGATTCTTTTTGCTGTTGTTGTTATTTTTTGGGGGAGGGGCAGTTTTGTTGTTGTTTTTATTTTATCGTTCATCTATTTTTTTTTTTGGGGGGGGGAGTTGTTTTATTTTTTTGTATTTGTAAAACGTTGACGATAGTTTTAAACGGTCCTCTTAGGTTTCTCTTGCAAAAATATCAATAGTTGAAAAGAGTACGGCCAATTTCCCCTGTATTTGTGTGACTCACAGGGTCCAAATTTAAGAGTTGCTAAATTCTACAGGTTTTTGTTAAATTTTAATCGGAGGACTTTGCTAATCAAAAATTAATTCATAGTATCCGAAAGACAATAAATTGCATTACTTCAAACATAATTTTGGTTTGGGAAAACGACATCCTTCTTAAACATCTTTGTGATAAATATTCTAAATTTACCAAACTCTCTCAAAATTGCTGTTTTTGGCATTCTTCAGGCGTTTATAATTTGGTGGCCTGTTTAGAAATGGACCACTTTAAAGTTCACATATTATTTGGCTGTGATACTATGGATTATTAAAGCCGGATTGAAATATAAAAATAAGGAGATGAGGTATGATTGCCAATGAATGGCCCCGACATGAAAAATATGAAACAATTCAATCGAGAAAACTAACGGTCTAATTTATAACAAAACAGTTAACGAAAAACAAATATGACAGACATGAACCAACGACTACCACCGAACTACAAGCTCCTGATTTTGGGACAGACACATAAAGAATGTGGCGGGGTTAAACATGTGTGTGAACGCTCAACCCTCCCCTAACCTGGGACTGTGGTGTAACAGCACAACATAATAACAAACTATAAAAATCAGTTGAAAAAGGCTTAACTCATCAGATCGATACAAAGCAGAAAAACATCAAACATAAACACAGACTGGACGTGGCAGGGTATTTTATCCACCCCTAATCCCTAACAACAAAAAGGACACTAAGTACAGATCTTAGAGTACTTGCTGTTACTGACAGATAGTTTAAATAACAACTAATAAAAAAAATCATATATCTTAGACTAAAATATCAATCAGTACATATCCAACATCCAATGGATTTAGTGTAAAGTCGTCATTAACAGTCAGAGAAAAACATGACCTTGTGCAATGCCAAAATAAAGGTATCGACAGATTGTAGTACCGTTAAAGTGCATATGTGTATAACAAAACTATTTAGTATGATTTTAATTTACCGATAAAAAAATCAATATTTATACCAATAAAAACAATATTCAAAGATCTAATTACAGTGTTGAATTGGTAACCTTTTAGAATTAGTTTATTTAAAGGATTGATAATTTTACCCGGATCGTATATAAATTTCCAGGCTCGGTTAACAACATCACCGTAAAATTTATGATGTGCTATTCCGTCTGAAATAAGTTTTTTACAGGTACAGCCAAACTTGCAAACCAAATCTTTGTATCTATGGAAGAATTTAGTAAAGGTTTTAAGTAATTTATGGTAACGAAACCCTGACTTGATAATTTACTAGTAATACATAGATTACGCTCATTGAAATCCAAAACGTCACTACAGACACGGGCATAACGAACGAGTTGGGATGTATAAACACCGTAAGATGGTGCCAGAGGAACATCACCTTCCAAAAAAGGAAAATTAACAATAGGGAAAGAAAAATCATCCCTTATGTCGTCAATTTTTGTGTAGAGTTTCTGGTGTAAAACTGAAATATCTAAGTCTAGGAAAGGACACTTATTGCTGTTAATATTTGATTTATTTAAAGTAAGTTACTGTTGGTAAATTTCGGCAGTATATTTAGAGAATTCTTGATTATTTAACGAAAATATATCATCAAGATAATGGTAAGTGTTGTTGAATTTATCAATTAAATAGAATTAAGACGGGTCTTTACTGAGATTGGCAATAAACTGTGATTCATAACAGTACAGGAACAAGTCTGCTATTAAAGGGGCACAATTGGTGCCCATAGGAATACCTACAATCTGTCGATAAACTTTATTACCGAAACGTACATAAATGTTGTCAAGACTTTTTTTAAAATGACTCTGGTGTGATATAAATTAAGAGAAAATTGGATTATTAACTGAATGTAACACGGTTTTTTCATGGTACTCCCAATATTGTATAATTTCTAAATATGTGCCATTAGCTTGGTAAAGAACAGATGATCGTTTACGATGTGTGCATGTTTGTTATATTAAAATGTTACTACTTTTTCTACAGTTGGATCAATGAATGCAGCGCAGCGTCAACAAAGTGAAACGATTGATGGAAATGCAACGATAAATAAAGGTGATGAAGTTAAGATATAAAAAAAAACTGGATACTAATTATAAGATGAATTAGAATAAAATCGATCACCACACACAACACTTAGTCTAGCTCCAATAAAATACACTTATACATATTTGTTTCAATACTCAAATTGTATTATGAAGTGTCGTTTATGGTATGTAGATAAACATGTTCTTTAAATAGCACAAAGATTTTTAACACATGCACATTATTTGTTATATATGTTCTTGACAATGTGCATTTGATATATTTATCTAAGCTCGGTGGTATCGTGGTATTTATATTTATCTAAGCTCGGTGGTCTCGTGGTACCTAGCTCGTCTCAAGGCCAGGTGGTCAAGGTTTCGATCCCCGACTTCTTATAGGAGTTATTCCTCTTCAATGACGAATTTTACCATTTTTTTTTATATTTGCCTATCATCTTATAAGTTATGATAGATAGAGGAAAATGTACACGCAAAAAATGATCAGCAAGACCATGTCAACGAATAAGTCGAATTGTCGAAATCGTCAGACGACTCCGTATTGGAGTTATTGTCATTTAATGACGATCCCCCCCCCCCCCCCCCCCCCCCCCCCCGTTTTTGCCTTAATCTGAAAAACTATAATGAATAAAAAGAAACTTAAATCAGCAAAAATGATCAGCAGAACAAGATCTACAAATAGGTCAAATGGTTGAAATCGTCTGACGACCCCTTATTGGAATAGTTACCCTTTAATGGTGATTTTTACCAATTTTTTTTGCGATATTGTCTTATATCTTTAAAAATCATAATAGATAACATAAAAACTTAAATAAGCAAAAATAATCAGCAAGTCTAGATCTACAAATAATTCTACTAGTCGAAATCGTCAAGTAACTCCTCATTGGAGTTATTATTCTTTAATGACGATTTTTAGTGTTCTGCCTCTTATCTTGAAAACTATAATTATAGATAGATAGCCACTTTAGATAACAAAAATGATCAGCAAGACTAGATCTACAAATAAGTAAACAAAGTCGAAATTTTTTGTCGACTCCTTATTGGAGTTCTTGTTCTCTAATGACGATTATTACCAATATTTTACGTTTTTGCCTATTATCTTGAAAGATAAACACTTAAATAGCAAAAATGATCAGCAAGACAAGATCTACAAATAAGTGAAATATGCCGAAATCGTTGGTAGACTCTTTATAGAGTAATTACCTTTAATGACTAATTTGTTTTACCCTTTTTTGTGTCTTGGGCAAAAATTAAAGTAGATAGAGAGAAACTGTAAACAGAAAAATAATCAGCAACACTAGATCAACACAAAAGAGATTTTTGTCATGAATTATAGTCTAGTCCACATTGTTGGAGAGTGTCCATTCTTGAAGATGCACATATACCTAGGTGAGCGACAGGGACTCTTTAGAACCTCTAGTTATGCACCCCTGGCTTTCAAAATTTTGGACCTGAGAGCGTTCCTCCTGAAGGTAAATCCAGAAAAACGATTCGAATTTCTTATTATGACCAGAAGCACAACAGGACAGGAACAGGGAAAATACAAAAATACACAAGCCCTTTATAGTAATCTTCGACTTAATTTATTATTGTATTTGTCCTTTTGCCGTCGAAAAATATATAACAGAGTCGGTTAGTTTATCGATACACATGAATACCTTTTTTTTTTCGAGAAACAATGTATTTGATAACATTATCGGTACAAATTTTAATACACCAGAAGCACATTTCGACATTTAATATCTCTTCAGTGATGCTAGAGGCCAAAATATTTGAAAGTCCAAAACTTAATATACACGTGGAAGAACTGATAAAATCAAAAGTTAATCCAAAACTGGTCAAGGAATCAGAGATAGGCATGAGGAAGATAGGTGTATAATCCACCTAGGTCAGGAACACATATATTGATTGTGAAAATATAACTTGGCCAAACAAACTATATGAATAGACGAATTAGTTACCCCAAAAGAATGTTGAAGATTCATTTGGTATCTTGTAGTCTACAAAAATGTACTGGGCTAACAAATAATAAAAAGGTATTCAACACCAGAACATTTCATGCAGATTAATTCATTCTTATGGGATCTTATGGAACTAACTGATATCTTTTTTTTTTTACAGATAATTATATTCTATACTCAAAAGAGGATCATACAGAACTTATCGCTTTGCTCCATAAATTCAAAAATGAGAGCGAAAAAGGTAAAAACGTATGAAGTTTTAAAAATAGAAGATGTGGTATATAATTCAAATGTCATAGAAGTAAGCAACTTTAGGTCACCGTACGACCTTCAACAATGAGCAAACCCAATATCGCATAACAAGCTATAAAAGTCCCCGAAATGAAAAAAAAAAAAAAAAAATCTACTACATTTTAAAGACAAAATAAATAAAAGAAACCCCCCTCCCCCCGCGTTAAACATATTTTATCTGCCCAAGGGCAATAACTAAAATAATTATTTTTTTTTAACTTTTTGATAAATATCTAACAAGAAATTTAGGCAAAAATTATATAAGATTTGTTAAAATCTGGCAAGAATTGTACATGTGAGAGCGCTTACACGACCGGACGTACCAACGCATGAACGGACGCTCGGTATTTCTGCAATTTTAGTTTGTTGGTTCAAATACAATAAGAATACATAAAACAATGGAAGTTTATTTGTTGATTTAGAAAAATAAATATTTCAGGGGCATTGAACCCCTAATAAGATGTCACGGTACCATCTCGATTAAAATTGTCCGACAATATCGAGACTAAATTTTTTGTTTGTTTGTCAATATCTTAAAATAGTTTCTGATTAGAAGAGATATGAAGTAAATGTCAAAATTTAGAATATTAGCTTGACCTCAAATCCCTTTTGATCTATCAAGGACCTCAAATCAAAGTTCCCTAGATCTCTATCACTTATTGTTCATGAGATACATGTATATGTTCCGGACCATATGAGTATTTGGACCATACGCGTGTGATCATGACCATAGCGTATATACTCATATGGTCCAACCATACGCGTATGGTCCGGTCAATTAAAACGATGAACATTGAAAAGGTGTCCTACATGTATATTAAGAGTTTCTTTAAATTTTTTTTTTACTTATTCAATCATATTGTAATCATTGTTTCATGATTAATGAAATAAAGTGAAATTTACTTTCAAGTAAGAATAATAGTAAAATCCTTTTTACGTGGTCATTATTGATTTGTACGGAACGCAATATGTCGACTTATGAAAATAACTGCAAGAAATATCTAAATGATCTCGTATGGTCCAAATACTCATATGGTCCGGAACATATTCGTTTCAAGTCAATAATTATTACTTACTCACGGCCGGAACTTTAGTCATTGAACCCTCTATCTTTTCTTTTTTAAATTTATATAAGTGTTTTAAAATTTCTTAAACATCCTAAATTGTTTTTCGTTATTTAATCTGTTCTTGTTCTTATAAATACGATCTTACAATAACAGTAAAATGGTAATAATAGGATAAAGAACACAATAATTTAGATAAGTTGAGATTAGAAAAAAAATTGTTTCTGAAATAATGATTTAAACACTAAGAAAAAATAAAAAAAGATCCATGCCCAAAACGCCTGTGGTTTCACTTACGGACGAAAAAAGTCGACAAGATAAAACGCTTTAAATTGATTCTGGCGCACAGATCTACCAAGATTCAGACAAAATGCATATGTAAAGATAAAGGAATTCAGTTAGTAACTCGGGCCGGTTTGGGTTCGGAGAATGAGCTGTGTCATTGTTGAAGGCCGTACGGTGACCTATAGTTGTTAATTTCTGTGTCATTTGGTCTCTTGTGGAGAGATGTCTCATTGGCAATCATACCACATCTTCTTTTTTATATATCTCCTGCCAAGGAAGTTAGAATTTTATTTGTAAAATACCTATTTGGTCTAAATACTCATATTGCCCGTTAATAACCAAAAACGAGTATAATACTCATATGATTTGGGTATACGCATATGGTCATGACCATACGCATATGGTCCAAATACTCATGTGGTCCGGAACATATATATCACTCTCTTAAATACAGAAGGGGAAATAACTCATGATGTATCTTTGTATATCGCTTCAGTTAACATTGAACAGAACATCCTGAGGATATAACGATCAATTTAGAAATTTCTGTTGTCACTTTGCTTTACGGTAGCGAGGAAATGACAAGAAAACAGTGTTCGGGGGTATAACTCTTACAAAAAAGTATTCGGTTAAATAGGGTGAGTTTCAAATGCACAATAAGTATTCGATATCATATGCAAAATATCTAATCGACATCTTGCAAAACCACAATACTATGCAAGAAAAAAAAGTGGAGGAAGAAGAAAAAAATGATCAGAACAAATTCAAATGGTCTTTCCACAGAAATGTGGAAAGACCTATTTAAACAGAAACTATCAACATCCTGACATCACGATCAACAACCTGACATCACGTGATGATCAACATCAAATTTCCTGAATAATGAAAACAAAAACTTTCAGGAAAAAAGACGGAACACAACCACTGACGAGGTTGAACTTGATTTCGGTTTAGCACATGAATATGTGGCGGTTTATAAATTAATTTGTCAATTAAGGAGATGCACACCCTTTAAGACCTCAGCTTTACCCGCCACTATATCACTTTTTTGATTTACGTTTGATGAACATGTTCTCTAATAATGATGAATTCTCTGTAATGCTATAGATGTGAAACGCGCAAATGTACAACTTTAAGTTTATTATGCGAAAGTTTGTCGTTGACACTTATCAATGCAGATAAATGTGATTGGTTAAGCTAGGTTTAGTGGAACTTAGCCTACAATTGCAAGGCATTAAAAAAATTCATCAGACATGCAAAACAACAAAAAACCGACGCGTAACCAAAGCATCGGATATACACTACCGAAGTGACACATTATTTAGTGATTACAAATGTATGTAGTAATGCTTGCTTTAAATTCTTTGTTCTATGGTATTGGTTTTGTTAATATGTGGTACACTGTCCAAAAAGCGTTAAAATTGAGTATGCATAATCACTTATTTTCAGCTTTGCTATCAATGAAGGATTCCAAAGAGGAAATCATTAAACTGCTAGCAGACTTCAAGAACAGAACTTCAAACAGTATGTTATACATTTGTATATGATATACGCGTAATGTATTGATACAGCTAACATTTTTAGATTTATATTCCCTACTTGTGATACATGTAAATTTAGGAAAGGGAGAGTGAATTAGTTTTCACGATTCAAGTCCGTCTATTATATAATCTTCATTTCCGATCTCATAAAAAAGTATATATAGTCAAACCTTTCATTTTATCTGTATGGTAGTTGTGCATACGGTACATTCGACTTCGGCAGTTAATGAGATCTAAATAATGATAAATGAGGATGTCTAACTCAACCTGTACTTATTTCTTAAGCCAAATTACGTTTTTATCATTTTCTTTGAAGTCATCATGTCTTTTTCCCCCAAACTTAGCAGGGTGGAAGGTCTCTTACAACAGTGGTCATTTCATTTCAAACGCCTCAAAACATGTAGTCACAAGAGTTAACCTCTGGTTCTGATTAGTAGATTTAATCATGTCTTCTCTAAAACTACAATTTCTAAAATTTTAGGAGGTTGCTAGTTGGAATATCTCTTCAAACAATTGTCAAATGTTGACAGAGTGGCATATGCATTTGTATGTAGACACTAGTAATTCATAGTTTATGTACTTATCATTGTACACCCCATGAAACATCACATTTTCATCTTATCTGCGTCTTCTTGGCCAATTTCAATCAAACTTTGTAAGAATGATTTATGAAGTCTTCTACGCACGATTATCATTTAGTTTAGGTCGGTTAAAAACATGGCCGCTAATGGCAATCATTGATTTTGATTGGGCAATTTCAATATTCTTATCCTAACAAGGTGAATGTTTTGAGTTTTAAAAAGATTGAAAGACCCTTTACAGAGGGTCTAAAATTAATGGTGATCGAGTACAACTGGCGACACATAATTCCATTTAAAACCTTATGGAAAGTCATTATTTTTATCTTATTCTCCAATACTACTCCCCTATTTTTTACATAAGCTATTTTCTCTGAAGAAATTAAGGGGTTATTTGAAAGAGGGACGAAAGATACCAGAGGGACAGTCAAACTCATAGATCGAAAACAAACTGACAACGCCATGGCCAAAAATAAAAATACAAACAGACAAATAATAGTACAGATGACACAACATAGAAAACCAAAGACTAAGCAACACGAACCCCACCAAAAACTGGGGGTGATCTCAGGTGCGCCAGAAGGGTAAGCAGATCCTGCTCCACATGTGGCACCCGTCGTGTTGCTTATGTTATTACAAATCCGGTAAATAGTCTAATTCGGTAAGTCACATTCGTGAAAAGGGAGGGTATTGTAATGGGCGATTCATTATACAAGCTCTTTTGAGCCTCTGGCATTATCATAATTAGAACTTTATTGGTAAAGTTAAATTTAAAAGACGTTGAATAGAGGCATTTAAGAAAAATGTCCTACGTCACACTTAATTCATATTTGACACAGATGACGTAATGAGAGATTGTGTCGACTGGCAGCAGAGTGGTATGAGAACAAATGGTATTTACAGTATTACACCAATAGGATTCACATCATTTGATGTGTACTGTGATATGACAACAGATGGCGGAGGATGGCTGGTAAGTATAATGCAACATTAATGTAGATGAGTAGTCAATTGGATTTTTAGTCAATATCTATTAATTTATTGAAGGATTAGGGTCTTTTAGACCCTTATTTCACAAAAATAGGGCGCAAGTGTAGTTATCTACTTAAAAGATAACAAACCTCCTAAAACAAATCAAGTTTAGAGCTATTTGGGAAATTCAGAAACTTTTTACATTCCATGAATTATCATGGCAACAAGGGGTGGTGATAATATCTTATTTTAAACATTTCCATAGTTTCTCTTGTCTTTCATCATTATAAACATATTTTTTTAAAAGAAAAAGTATGAGCAAAACCCTGCTTGAATGTTTAAGAAAGTAGAGTTTATTTATATTGTATTTGTCTATATTTTTTGTTTTTAATTGTTTTGTTTTCATTTTTGCTTGTTATATTTTTATGGAGATAATGAGTACAGTTTAGTTGAAGACTCTTGACTGTTATCATAAAATACTTAAGGAGAAAGAGCTACTCTTAACAATGGATACATTTCGTGCATCCGAAACCACAGTTTTGCACTCAAACTGATACAAGTATTAATTTTTCTTACAACTGGTCATGTTAAAGCGACAGTGTTACAGTATATTCGAGTATTCAATTATTATAGACAAAAAACTTTGCTATAGCAGTATATCATATTCATGAGATTGCGAGTGTATTGATATTCTGTGAGGGACAATATTCTCAATTTGATACAACAACCCATTTTTAATTAAGCAATAATTCATGGAAGCCTTAGACTTGTTGGAAATTTATGGCTTCCATGAATTATTTCGATTCTAATAGGACAAATACGGTCATTTAAAAAAACTGAAGCGAGGGAAGGTATGCCTTATGTGTGGCTGTTCTATTTTACCCCTGTTAGATAAAGCTAAAAATTTCCAATAGATATATAGCTTGCACGAATTATTTCTAAAATAACTGCTAGAAAAAAATGTGTTTAATTCTTTTAATTCTCAACCCCAACATTTGCCATTTTTAATTTACATTTTTTTCTCGTAAGCTACCGTCAAATCCACAGTTGACATTTCGTTACTAAGGAGCCGCCATATTGACTTGCTGAAATCAGTAAATGTGCGAATAATGCAATAGAATAGAAAATAAAACAGCACCTACCTCAAAACTCCATTCTAATGCAGTATTATCCGAATTTGGAGGGTTCACGTAATGAAAAAACCTTCAGCTTTGGCGTTTTCATATGTATGATGTCATGTTTTGAAATGAATTTAATGCGCCAAAAGCATTATTGGAATTTGCAGATTTTATTTTATTTTGGTTTTGTACATTTTTCCGAGCTCTTCTGCATTAATTCTTTTTGTTATGCATCAGAATAAGAATAAAGGTTCTGTAGTTTTTTTTTCAATTGCAATTTTTAACACAGCGAAATCGGCATAGCGTTTGCACATAGGTTACGGTACATGTGGATTTACGTGGGAGGTATATTGTAACAAACATTATTATGTACATTTCTGAGTCTGCGCTAAGTATAGATGTATCGAGAATTTTATCACGGTGTTGTTTACAAAGCGAAAAAAGCAAGTCATATTAGAATATGGTACAAAATGTTTCAGAACCATTGATAATAATTTGTCCAATGTATATCTGATGCCTGAAGTAAGGATGCAATGCCCATTCCCGCCACCTTGTTCATCCCAGCTGCGTGTGTGCAAATGTAATTTTACTCGGGTCTTCTCTAGTTCGCACCAAACTTTAAGGAGAAAGTATGGAATGCAATATTAGGCAATATGCGATGTGTTTAACTCATCGGAAATGCTCTGCTTTTTAAATATATTTATAAAGGAAGACTAGTAGAATTTACAACGAAATAAAATATTGGAAGAAACACATTACCTTTAAATGGTGTTCAATCGGTTGATACTTGATGAAACCTATTTCCTTTTCACATAGAGCAGATTGCCAATAATGCCACCCTTCCTATTTACATAGAACAGGATGTCTATAATGCCATCCTAATAGTATGTTGACAGTTAACTGATTCAATTCTTAATCAACTATACAAATATTTCTATAATTGCCCCTTGGTGGCTTTTATTTCTTTTATATTTTTTATAAGTTCTGCTTATTATATATAAATATGTATCTAATCCGGTCATTAGTACTCTACTGTGGACAATCAATTTTTCAAAATTAAAATTTTTAACCGGTACACATATATACAAATAAGAAGATGTGGTATCATTGCCAATGAGACAACTATCAACCAAAGATCAAATGAAGTGGATGTAAATAACTGTAGTTAACCGTACGGCCTTCAACAAAGAGTAACTTCCATACCGTATAGTAGGCTATAAAAGGCCCTAAAATGACGCAATGTGAAACGAGAAAAACAAAGGTCTGATTCACGTACAAAACAATATACGAAAAACAAATATGATAGACAGCGGTCATCGATAACCACTGAAATACAGGCTTCTGATTTGGGACAGGCCCAACATGATTTAGCGGGGTCAAACATGTTTGGAGCAATTTATTCTTCCTTAAACTGGGACAGTGCAGTAACAACTTAGCACAAAAAACTACTAGCAAAAAGACACGGAGTGCCGATCTAAAAGTACTCACAGTAATGGAAAGCTAGTGTAAGGCCAGTTACATCTAATAAATAAATCAGGTTTCCCAAAATAAATGTTAGTGTCGATAAAACAATATTCAAACTTAAGATCTAATCAAGTGTTAAAAATGAAAATAACATTTTACAAGTTTAGCCTTTCTTAAGGTACGAAGTGCTTCGCAGTATCTCAAAATACGGCAACATGAAGCAATAATTTTTTTATCTGTTCTTGAATACCGGCTTGTGATCTATATGATGTTTTCTTCTTCCAAATATTGCCCACATTCAACATGATGAATATTCTGGCAAGTTGCGCATGATTAAAAACTAGTTAAAACAAATTGTTGAATTGATTGATTAGACGTGTTGGTCACTTGAGACTTGAATATCTCAAGAGACTTTACTGTGGCGATATTTGGAGGAATTTGTTCCAATTCTTGACGGTGTCTACGAAGACTGACCGTGTCCTACAATTTTTAGTGGCTGGCTGTAATAATTAAGTATGATGTCCTGTCCGACTGGAGCTTCCTGTTGGTTTTTGTAGGTATTTACTCTTGTCTATGGCTACAAGGTCATTTGTTATTTTGTAACACATGATGAGTCGAACTTCTTTTCGTCTTGTTTGTAAGCTTTTCCATCCTAATTCATTTATCATGTTGCTGACACGTGATCTATTTCTATGTCTGCTGGTTACATATGGTGCAACTCGTCTTTGTACTTTTTCAATTTTATCTATGTGGTTTTGCAGGTACGAATCCCATACTGTCGTGGCGTATTCCATTTGTGGTCTTACTAGTAATATGTTATAGGGATGCTCTTTGAAGCATTTAGAGCTGATGTGGATGTTTCGATGTAAAAAACCAAGGCTTCGGCTGGCTTTACATGTGATGTTGTTTATGTGTTCTCTCCAATCTAGATAATTTTCGATGGTGCAGCCCAGGTATTTAGTCGATTTTTTATGCTCAATTGTATCGCCTTGAAGTTTGTAGTCCCACTTGATGATTTTTGTTGTGACTGTGAGGACGTTGCTTTTTTTCTAAAGTGTTTCCCAGTTTGGCCAGTTTGTCCAGGTCTTCTTGGTGTTTATGGTAGTCGTTGTTTGAGGAAATGGTCAAATAGACAACATTATTGTCCGCAAACAGTATTACTGTTGAGTGTAGTCCTTCTGGTAGGTTGTTTATGTAAAAAAAGAAAGAGACTTGGTCCTAAGAATTATCCTTGTGGTACTTCAGATTCTGCTTTCACTTTGTCTGATGTTTCGCCTTCAACCACTACTACTGGTGTTCTGTTCGTGAAAAATTCCTTTATTCATTTGTTTGTTTTACTTCTGATGCCATAATGGTGAAGTTTAAGTAGGAGTAAACTGTGGGACACCTTGTCAAAAGCTTTTGAAAAGTCCAGTATTAGCAGATCTGATTGTTTTCCGTTTTCCATATTTGTTGTGGTATCGTCGATACATTCAAGGAGTTGTGTTTCGCATGATATTTTACTCCTGAAGCCATCTTGTAGAGGCTATAGGATGTTATTCAACATTGCATGTTTCATGATGTTACTGGTGACTATATGTTCGATTTTTTTCAAGAGATACTTGTTATGGATATTGGCCTATAGTTAGCTGGTATGTATTTCTGGCCTTTCTTATATGACGGAGTGACATTTGCAGTTCACCAGTCATCAGGTATCTTTCCTTTCTCCATTGCAAAATTGTAAATGATGGTGAAGATCGGAGCAATTTAACTGGCTAGTTCTTTCAGTATCATTGGTTTGATGTTTCTGGTCCAGCAGCCTTTAGTGGGTTTAGATTTTTCAATTGTTTTTCCACTCCATTATTAGTGATGAATAAATGTTCGCTGTTTGGATGGTTTTCTGGTAGATCTGTCATGAGTGTTTTCCTGACAATATCTCTTTTACTGATAGAACATGCAGCGGGGAAGACCGATTTGGAATTGATAATTTAGTATATTTGCTTTGTTAATTGGATCAGTTTTTAATTTCCCATTTCTTCTAAGTGCTGCAAAAAAACCACGCAATAAGCAAGGGAACAGCGCTTTTATTGCTGTTCTTCATCTCAAAGTCACAGTGAGGCCTTCAACACGGATCAAAAAAAAAAACAAAAAAAAAACTCTGCAAGTTTTAGGACCGGCGAGCGGAATTCTTTGCAAAAATAAATTTGGATAGATGCATGTAAAGCTAACAATTTATTGGATATAACACAACTATGAATTAAAATAAAAGTAAAAAGTAGGTGCAAAAATTGAAAAGTAATATAATTGGGTAATGATGACTTAGGTTTTGATCACGTGGTACATTGACTGTGCCTGTCAGTCAACGAATGCGTCTACGAAAAGACATTACGGCAGAGAAACCAAATGTTTTACATCTAGATTTAGACAAGGTCGATCTTACAAAATAATCAATCGTTGCATTTTAGATTCATAATTACAGTATACTTGTTCGACAGTGAATGTGTGTTTTTTTTTTAACTCGTACCTATTTATCTACTTAAGAACAGAAGAAATCAGTCTGCATAATGTGTTTTAAATAAATTGTCTGACAAGATAACATAATTATTTTCAAGTCTTTTCATAGGTGTTCACAAGAAGTGATTATTCTAAATATGGAAAAACATTTTTCCTTCTTTATTACAGGTTTTCCAAAAAAGAATAAACGGTACGATAGATTTTTTTAAAGATTGGGTGTCGTATGAAAACGGATTTGGTGACATCAACAGGGAATTCTGGTTAGGTAATTATTTTTAAACATTCTAGACGGTTTGTAGATCAAGGATACTAGCATAACCTGTAAAGTAGTAATGAATTTAAACCATTTATTACACGAAATCTATGTGATATGCTTATACAAGATGGATTACGCTTATGTGAGAAAATAAACCAATAATACAAATTGCAAAAGTGTTGTTTGTTTTATGTTTTTTTTTCTGCAATTATTGTGAGTTTTAAACTATACAAAGGCAATATATACAAAAATAATATATTTTGAATTATATGTAAACTCGTGTTAACATAACTTAAGTGTCGGGTTATGTAAAAAGAGGCGGAAGATACCAAAGGAACATTTAAAGCTCATAGGTCGAAGAAAAACTGATAACGCCATGACAAAAAACGGAAAACGACGAAAGAACAAAAGATCACAAAACACTACATAGAAAACTAAAAGACTGAGCAACACGAACCTTGCTAAAATCCAGGTATGAACTACTGTGTTCCGGAAGGGTAAACAGTGCATGGATTCATCCATTTTCTGTACGCAATCAATGCAAGTCTGTTTTAGTATATATTCAAACAAAGTTCTAAATGTATTCATGGTAAATGCTGCCATTCTGTATTTGAAGGTTATACTAGTAAATATGAGACCAATAGTCAAGTTATATTACAGTGTTACAATATTACAACTCTACTGTTTATTACACTGGTACTCGTTCTTTTATCCCAGTACAGAGCAATACGTCTTATAAACAAAATATGTGCATTTCTTTCAATGAGTAAATGATACTTTTCAATTTCTTACTAATTTAATTTGTTACAAATTAATGTAAAGCTGTTATGAAACACACATGTATGAAATTGTATCGATGAATATGATTTTGTAGTAATTGAAATTACAGGCAATAAAAAGCTACATATACTCACACAAGAACCTACAGAACTTCGAGTTGATGTAATGGCATGGGACAACGAGAAAAGATACGCTAAATACTCGACATTTAGGCTCGGTGATGCTTTATCAAAGTATACACTGTATGTAGATGGTTACAGTGGAGACGCTGGTAAGATCAGACGATATTTTTTCGAATAATTCACGATTTTAAATATGAATATATATTTTGAATAAATAAAATGATGTGATATATACGTTGATGAGACATAAACCCAAAAATGCAATTTTAAATATGAATAATTCACGATTTTAAATATGAATATAATTTTGAATAAATATAGTGATGTGATATATACGTCGATGAGACATAAACCCCAAAATGCAATAAAATCAAAGACACAGTCAGAGGTCAACATCCTTTAATAGTAGTATATTTCAATTCAGTCTTTATTATAAAAAGTTGGCAACATATATCTCAGAGTCAATTCTGTGTCTTTCCTGAAATATGTGTCCTGTGCCGTAATGACACTCAAATACGGTGCCCTTTGTGCAGCCTCAAACCTTTGTCCTTTCCTCAGATTAAAGGACTTTCATGGAGTAGTAGTCACAAATCTATGTCCATTTTTTCTTTAAATCTGTCCCTTTCAACAATGTCCTATATGTTTACGTCAGAATTATGAAAACGTCATCGGGGAAAGATTTTTGTTGTCAAAGACATGGGTCATCATACGACTTTGACATTCGAATTAAATCGTCATCATACGACTTTGACATTCGAATTAAATCGTCATCATACGACTTTGACATTCGAATTAAATCGATATCAGTTAAGGCTATTAAAAAGTTAAAGATCTTCCAATCACAATTTGACTCAATCGTTTGTCTATTTTACACCAAATTAAAATGATATAGCATAAACAAACAATCATAATAAAATTAAGTAAATTATAATGAAAATATAGATAGTAAATAAATTTGATAGGTTTTTCCTTGCAGGTGATGGTCTAGCTTTACACCACAAGGTCAAGTTCAGTACACGCGACCAAGATAATGATGTAAAGCGTAAAGACTGCGCCGGGTCAAATAAAGGTGCATGGTGGTACGAGAATTGTAGTCATTCCTCTCTCAATGGACAGTATATCAAGGGAACCGATGGTGTCACGGGAAAGAACATGGGTATCAATTGGGAAAAGTTTAAGGGTGACTACTACTCCATGAAAACTGCATCAATGATGCTTCGCCGGAAAGTTTGATGTGTGCTGGGTTTTTTATGTTTAAGACTAAACGTGGATGCCTTAAATGAAATAGTGTTAAAGAAAACTAGTTAATAAATTATGTTTGTATTGAATATTATGTCTTCAATTATTGAATATTAATATAACACATGAGTTAGTTTCATAGTAAGTACCGGGAAATGTAAAAAAAAAAAAAAAAGTATGACCCCTGCATCTTTCTCTCGTTGAGCAAATATAGGATGTTTGTTAAAACTAAGAATAATTTGAATATTATAATTGTCCGAATATCCTTCTTAAAATAGTATGTATGTAAGCCTCCTCAAAACTATGCCCAGCCTCAAGTCTATGTCCTTTCCTCAGATCTATGTCCAATTCTATATTGCGTCATAGACTTCACAAATCTATGTCCATTTTTTCTTTAAATCTGTCCCTTTCAACAATGTCCTATATGTTTACGTCAGAATTATGAAAACGCCATCGGGGAAAGATTTTTGTTGTCAAAGACATGGGTCATCATACGACTTTGACATTCGAATTAAATCGATATCAGTTGAGGCTATTAAAAAGTTAACGTGTGTTGAACTATGAATAAAATTGTAACGTTTTATACTTTTTATTTGTCAATCAGTTATTACCTTAATATTATTAAACTACTATTATTTTTTTTAAATCAAAGAAATAGAAGTGAAAACAGTCAGAATATAAATCTTCGCTTTTTGGGTGTTCGTCAAATATGCATCGAAGCCTTGAAAGCCAAACAGTAAAATATATTTGAGTACTCATAGATCGTTACTTTGTGTCTTTTTGTTTCTTTGATTTTTTGTGATTTGTACCGATCTGGTGAGCAAAGTCCTTTCCAGTTTATTTTTACAGTTTGATCCAATGGTGCGTTGTTACAGCGGTCCAAGGTTAGAAGGGGGAGGGTTTGAGCGCTTTAACCCTGCCACATTATATGTGTGCTTGTCAAAAGTCACGTCACAGTTTCATAATGTCACAGGACACAGATGTGAGTAAAGGACACAGATTTGTGGCTGGACAAAGGGCCACAGATTTGAGTGTCAGATCCGAGGAAAGGACAAAGATTTGAGGCTGCACAAAGGGCCCTATATTTGAGTATCATTACGACACAGGACACAAATTTGAGGAAAAGACACAGAATTGACTCTGAGATATATGTTGCCAACTTTTTATAAATTAAAAACTCAAATGGAGTTTCTCTGACTTAAACAATTCCAATTTGATAAAATTTGCAAAGTATACATGCTTTTATAAAAAAGAAATAATGTAAAACGCCGTTTTGTTTCGTTCCACTCAATTTTCAGGTTAATTCCTGAAGATGTGTTTTTGTGTCTGATCTTTTCGAAAAACAAATAGATAATTCCTGTATTCTATATAAAAAAGGAGATGTGGTAATCGCCGATGAGACAGCTATTCACCAAACTTCAAATAAAGTGGATGTAATCAATTATAAGCAACCGTACGTATGTTTAAATACTTTTTAAAATGTCCCCTCTTTTTCTATCTATATTTATCTTTCCACTTGTACACGACATATTATAATATTACCTGCTATAAAATTAGCAAAAGAAATTTGATAGGCCAAATGCGTTTATCATCTTTTAAATGTCGAATCGCTTGATGTTATTAAGGTGAAAATACTTCCTAGGAGGACTCTCCTATTGGCAAGTTTAGAAGTTTTATGTTTTTGTTTAAAACATTTAATTATAATTTATAAAGCCTATGTGTCAGCCCATCTCTGTTCTTATGGAATAAAGATTTATTGATTTATTGATATGTGTTAAAAAATGAAAACAACACTTTATAAATTCCATCCGTCCGAAGAGCTTTTCAGGACTTGCCTTCACCAGGAACGCTCAAACCCGATTATTTGAAAGCCAAGAATGTATAAAAACTGAAACAGTAGAAGAGCTATATGACCAAAAAAGTACCTCAAAATAATATACAAATCCATTTTATGTCATCTTTGCCAAGGGGAGTTGAAATATTAGTTTTTCATTACTTCTAAATTTACAAACGGACAATATAAGAAAAGTTTGTTAAACAAATCATGTCATTACCGAAGTATTGTCGTCCGAACTGATGATACCCTCGGGGAATATTAGTCCAGAAGCAGCGGCATCGACCCAGTAATGTAAAAATGGAAACAACACTTTATAAGTACCATGCGCCCGCAACGCTTTTCTGGATTTACCTTCATCAGGAACGCTCAAAGCCGAATATTTGAATGCAAAGGACTGTTTAACGCCACTTTCAGCACTATTGGCTATTTCATGGTGGCAATTTTTTCATTGGTGGATGAAACCAGAGTGTTCGGCAGGAAAACTGACAATCCTAGACAATTAAGATTGTAATCGAATGGGATATAGATTGTTGATGATTATATTTGTACCTAAAGCAATAGAAATACTGTAAAACTTTATTGCATTTTTTGGTTTTACTTTGTAAAAGTATTCTTAAATAGATTATGTACCATCTCCTTGACAATTATTCAAACCTTCTACCCACAATGAAAAAACAAGTTTCTTTCTATCTATACATATATCGAAATCTTTATTTCATACATATTCGCACCAGCATTATTGTGCCTTGGCTTCAGTTTCCTAACCCGGACTGTTTCTTCTTGTCTTTGTCTTTGTCCCTGTTAGATTTCCATAAGTAAAACTTTAAGTCACTCTTATCTCACAAAGATTGACTCAAGGAAGGGACATTTTTTTCTGTTACTTCGCTTTTATGTAGACCGTCACTCAGAGTTGAGACTCGGTTATGAGAGAGAGAGAGAGAGGGTCTTAATGCATATCTAAGTCATAAGAGAAAGTTGGGAATCTGTCTTAATGCATATTTTAAAATTTTGGTCCGAGATTATCAAGTCTTGTGCTCAGCTGCAAAATCCTGGATAGGACAAGTGTATGGGCGTTTTTCAATAAAAGTGTGAATTTCAGACCTAAATAAAATGGAAAATCAACTTGTCTAAAATTTTATTTCAAGAGTTATTTTGAATACCTCTATTATAGACCTGTTTGTAAATAAAAAGTGCAATCTTAAATATTCTTTAAAATGATATTATTTTCATAATTTATGTACTGTTTCGTAGGGGACATTTGTCCACTACGAAACTGCTTCTAGTATATAAAGTAAATCAAACTGAAATGTCTATAGGAGACATTAAAACGCAATAAGATGTGCGTTTAGAAAGATCTCATTTTTATCTGAATTGAAGAACCATTTTTTATCGATAAAGATTAGACAGTACTTCACATATGAAGGTACAACTCACGTTACGTAGTGGACATTTTGATGAGTTTCGTAGTTGACAAAACCGTTTCGTAGTGGACAAAAAGTTTCGCAGTTGACATCAACCCTATTCTATGTTGATAAAAACATACTGAAAATTACATGAAACTAACCCTTGTTAATTGTTTTGCACGAATATAATTGAAAAAAGAGTAAAAAACGACTGCATGGTAGTAATAGTGTCCACTACGAAACGTTTTTCTTCCATACTTGTTTCGTAGGTGACCGTTTCGTAGTGGACATATTCACATGTTTTATTTTTTCCTACAATCCCTATACTGCAATAGTAACAAGAATGATTCTATTCATCAAAGCACATACTAAGCTGTACACTGATATTTTTTTCATAATTTTAAAACCAGCTACTAAAGGAGATTTGACCCGTTTCGTAGTGGACATTAACAAAAATACGGTATCACTCTGGTCCATTTGATGTGCTCAAATTTTTTTGCCAACAATTTAACTGCCGTTATAAAAGCATCACTTCTTTTGTAAGACCCTAATGTTTATATCTCTTGCAAACATTGATTTCATAAAACTGTTTATTAGCAAAATTTAATGACTTCGTTTCGTAGTGGACATTTTGTCAGGAATGTCAAGGGACACACCTTCTAAAATTAAAAATCCTTTGTCAAAAACTGTTTAATAAAATATGTTGGCTCTAAACATACTTTTGAACAATTAAAGAACTTATATTAAGTAAAAATAACATTTATTTCTACCTTTTTTTACAATATTTTAGAGTATGAATGTTGAACAGGAGGTCTAGGGACATGTCATTTTGGTTATTTTGAACCATTCAGGAATCAATATCTTATTAATCCCTCTAAAAATAGTATGTTTCTTTGCTTACAAATGTTAAATCTAATTCAATGTATTAACTGCAGAAAAAATTACTTGTAAAGATCAATCACATTTTTTTAAAAGTGGCTGGGACAAGAAATCACGTTTTTATTGAAAAACGCCCGTATACTAAAAGGAAAAGCATACGAACATAAAACAGAGTAAACATTACAAGGTACAGAAATAGATCTAGCATTTCGACCATAAAAGTTCATTGCCAAGGGAACAATAAAAGGTTCTAAACTAATGACTGAGATAAAATGAAAGCTAAGCTGTAAGCTTGGAATTCATCCATAGAGATTTGTGCCATGATGGCATTGCCAGTTTGTTTTCGACTTATTAGTTTGGATATCCTTTTGGCATCTATCGTCCCTCTTTTTCATCTTTAAAATAAAATGTCGAGTCATCAAAGTATTTATCTGCTTTTAAAATCTTACTCTTAAATATTGACTTCATTCAATGGATTTTCAAAGAAATTTTTGAATACATTTCTTAAGCACAGACTGCAATGAGGGCTTCAAAATGAAATATGTCTTAAACAATAAATTTAATATTACCCACGGCTCAAGACTGGCAGAGGCGGTATGATAATATATAAAAATAAGGAGATTTACATATTTTTCTATATACGAAGAATGATTTATTTGAAGTATATATAAAGATATTAAAAAGGTTAATAAACTACATCCACTTCATCTGAACTCTGGTGGATAGTTCTCTCAATTATTAATCATACTACACCTCCTTATTTTTATATAGATCACATATTTCTCCGATACTATTAGCAATTTAGTATAATCAAATAATAGCTTCTTACTGTGATTGAATAACACCAAACTATTTATATTTTATTTTCAATTTACCTATGAAATCTCATTCATTATATCTAATGGGGAGCATTGTAGCTTTATTTCTTATATATTCAATTGGTCAAAAGTAGTGGAAGGGACGAGCCAGTAGTAAGTATTTGTTTAGGGAAAAAAAAGTTATAAATGCTATCTTTCAATGGACGACCATTTGTCAAATGAACAAAAAGAAAATCAGGATGTACAATATGTACATGTTGTATAAATAGAAACCTACCTATAGTTCAGGTAAACATTTGATAATGAGACTTCGTTTGCAACAGGTAAGCACGATCATACCTGCTATAGTGAGTAACTGTAATGTGGACGCAGGGTATAAGTGTAAATAAATTATTCTTGAATGAATACCTTTTAGAAAGAAGCATACATCACACACTATTAGGCAGATACAACCGTTAACACAGATCCAACAAATGTTGGGTTTTTATCGGAATTACATGTAGATAAAAATATTTTCGCATTTTCTCTTGTTTACAGTATTTCTATAGTGATATTTAATGTCTCTGTTCTCGTACGGTTTTCCCCCCAAAAAAATGGATTCACACAGTTTTTACAAGGATTTAGTACATTTTGTATATAGAATACGAACGAAAGGTATTTTGGTGCCAATTTTAACGTCTTTTCGTGATAATTGTTTTTTTTTTATATAAAAGTTAAATTGTTATCGGTCCGACAAAAACTCCCTTAAAAAGCCGTTCATATTCATATCTCCCTGGGTCAGTAAATGCTCAGGGGTAAAAGTTCTATTGATTAATCGAAATTGTTTACCAAAACAACCTGGAATCGTCGTAGACCGACGAATTCAACTAAAAAAAAAGAAATTGCATAAAAGTTTTAGGGAAACAGTATTATTTGACGCTGAGTTTGAATGCCACAATTAACACAAATTGATTCACTTCGCGATTGCAAAAATCTATCATGACTAGCACGAATTTGTGTGTAGTTATACATGGAAAACCAATTTTGTGTGTAATTAATACATGGAAAACAAATTTTGTGTGTAATTATACATGGAAAACCAATTTTGTGTGATAGTAAGAAAACTAAACGAAAGAATTTTTAAGATTAAACAGAAAATAAAAAGAAAAATTGAGTTCACTGGACTCGTTTTCTTTCTACAAAACAAAATAGGTAAATTCCATAGACATTCCTTTGTATAAGTAAGGTTATTCAAGTTATCTCCCCTTATATGACAAATTTGAAAACATGATTTTTACAAAAAATGTTCTATTTTTAAAAAAACAGTTGTCATAATAAGATAAAACACATAATGTTTGCAGGTGAAAAGTAGTACAATGAATTACATTCCTCTCTCAAAATTTATATATTTGATTAAAGCTTTAGATTTATATTCTCGGAGTCTATTCTGATATTATCGGAATTACTCCATCAAATACTCAAGTTTTTTTCTATCTCACTTCTACGTTCAACTGCTGATGTTTCAAGTCCTCTTAGTTTGTTATATCTGATGGATTTGAAATTTTAAAATAATTTCAAGAAACACAAAAATACATGGATAATCACTTAATTAATATAATTACATTTTCGAATTAATATGAAATATTCATAATCTAAAATGATAAATATGTTCAAAATTAATAACTATCGACACATTTATTAAAAATTATCTTTATATTTACCTCTGTTACCTTTAAAATGAATGCGCGCAATAGTTATCAAAAGCTGCGCGCCAACGTCAAAATGTAACCCCTTTATTGCGCGCAAATGTAATGCGCCCTTGTGCTCTGCTATTTTACTGAAAATGACATGAACCATAATTTTTCATTAATATCTTTAAAATCATCGTATTTAAGCGGCTTTTCAGTTTTCATCTCAAAACACTACATTCGTCGATACCACCTCTTTTAATACAACAAACAGGCATAGATTGAGTTTTTTTTCAAAAACGAAGTAACGATTTCACATATTACTTGTGACAAAAAATATCAACGTATCAAGTTGAACGGTCTCTCATGTTTCGTGAAAAATCATTACTGATGGCAAATGTCTTGAAAACTGCAGTTTGGTTGTCACATTAAAGGTTTCTTAAAATAAACGACCTTCTCATAAAAAAGAACCATTTTGTTTGTTTAATTGTTTTTATATACATGGTTGAATTTGGATACCAACATGTTTTTGCTATCGTGTTAAGAAAACCCGATAAACACAAGAAAATCCCAAAATAGTTCAGATAAAGAAACATCATGTGAGTAAGATTACCTGAAAGTTTCATAAAGCATATCAGGAGCATTGCAAATATAACGGTAGGACATTAGGACGAACGACGGTACAGACTCCCCACCACTATATACCACCCACATCAAGGCGGATGTGTATAAAGGGTCGCAAGAAAAGAGAAATTATAACCCCCCCCAAAAAAAAACAAACAAAAAAAATCAAAAAAACGTGTAAATATTAGTTTGGAGTTAATGCTCCAGATTGATATCCATCTGATGAGTTAATATAAAAATAAGAAGATGTGGTATAATTGCCAATAAGACAACTCTCCACCCGAGTCATAGAAGTTAACAATTATATGTCACGTAAGCCCTTTTTAACTGATTTTTATACAACAACAGTATCGATCTGATGAGTTAGGCCCTTTTCGACTAATTTTTATACAACAACAGTATCGATCTGATGAGTTAGGCCCTTTTCAACTGATTTTTATACAACAACAGTATCGATCTGATGAGTAAGGCCCTTTTCGACTGATTTTTATACAACAACAGTATCGATCTGATGAGTAAGGCCCTTTTCGACTGATTTTTATACAACAACAACAGTATCGATCTGATGAATAAGGCCCCTTTCGACTGATTTTTATACAACAACAACAGTATCGATCTGATGAGTTAAGTCCTTTTCAAGTGTTTTTTTAGTTTGTTCTTATGTTGTACTGTTACACCACTGTCCAAGTTTAGGTAGAGGGTTTGGAGCCAGCAAACATGTTTATACCCCGCCACGTTTGTATGTGACTTTCCCAAGTCAGAAGCCTGTAATTCAGTGGTTGTCGTTGGTTCATGTCTGTCATATTTATTTTTCGTAAATTGTTTTGTTGTAAATTAGGCCTTTAGTTTTCTCAATTGGATTAATTTATATTTTTCAAGTCGGGACTTTTTAGAGCCGACTACACGTTATGGGTTTTTCTCATTGTCGAAGGCCGTACGGTTGCTTTTAATTGCTTACATCCACTTCATTTGAATTTTGGTTGATAGCCTTATTCTTATATATATAACAATGAATTATAAAGTAATAGAACACACACGCGCATTGTGTGGCCGGGACTGAAATGATTAAGTATGTCTATTTTTAGCAGGTTTTTTTTTGTATTCGCAATGACATTTGAAAAGCTCAGTTGACTTTCATTGACCAGGGTTCAACCTTTTTTTCAAGTTCAAGTTTAAATTCTTTATTGTAAAGTCTTAGACACACAGAGGTTTCAAGAGGGAAATCAATACATGAATACTGAAATGGAAATGGCAGATAATATATACAAATATATATCATTAAATAAAGTTTTATCAAACAGAACAGATTATTGTTTACAATATGTAGGGCCACGCAGGAGCCCTATAATTTTCACTTTGTCCGTCCGTCTATCCGTCCGTTCGTTCGTCACAATTTGTGAACACAAAAACTCCATAAGTAAACCAATGAAAGTTTGCACAGTTGTTGTGCATAATATGTAGATGTGCATATTACATTTTGGTAAAATTTGGCTCATTAATTTTGGGGAAAACTTCATTTTTATCAAAATATCACAAATTTTGAGAAATGTCTTTTGTAAACACAAAAACTCCAAAAGTATAGGTAAGAGGCCTATGAAATTTTCTTTTGTTCTTTTGTATAATATATAATATTACTTATTATATTTTGTTGCAATTCAGCTCCTAAATTTGGGTAAAACTTCTTTTTTGTATAAAAATAACAATTTTTGAGAAATGTCTTTTTATAATAGGGTTTTAATAAAAACTAATATATATGAGTATTAAGTTATTTCAAAGTGACAAACAAGTTAAAAAAAATGGCAACACCGTGCTTTTTGATAAAAAAAATACTGAAATTTTGAGAAGCATCTTCTTGCGGTAGGATGTCGTTGCCCACCATTTACGGAAAAGCCCATCAAAATACATTTTATAGTGCTTGGATTTGATCGAATACACATCCTGAATTAATTACTGGTGTCAAAATATATGAAAATTGACAAATTGCTTTGTATGCATCAGTGTCTTTATCTCACATAGAATTGTGCTACCGGGGCCCTTGCTGACACGTCAGTTTTCTCTATTTTTTCTAATTTCCTCAAAAATATAGCTATATTCTTGAAGACTTGAATATTACATAATGAAAATAAAATTGAGAATGGAAATGGGGAATGTGTCAAAGAGACAACCACCCGACCATAGAGCAGACAACAGCCGAAAGTCACCAATGGGTCTTCAATGCAGCGAGAAACTCCCGCACCCGGAGGCGTCCTTCAGCTGGCCCCTAAACAATTATGTATACTAGTTCAGTGATAATGGACGTCATACTAAACTCCAAATTATACACAAGAAACTAAAATTAAAAATGATACAAGACTAACAAAGGCCAGAGGCTCCTGACTTGGGACAGGCGCAAAAATGCGGCGGGGTTAAACATGTTTTTTGAGATCTCAACCCTCCCCCTATACCTCTAGCCAATGTAGAAAAATCAAACGTACAACAGTACGCACAGTAAAACTCAGTCTAAGAGAAGTCCGAGTCCGATGTCAGAATAGTCTATATATTTTATATACAGATCAGATGAATGGCGTGTACAATATGTTGGAATGTACTGTATTCTAAGAGATGTAACTTTAACATTGTTACATACAAACATTAGGGATATTCATTACCTATTTCATTCAAGTTACAGAAATGACAAATCCTATATTCCGGCATGGATGTATAAACGCATCTTCCTGTTTCGACAGGAAATTTTATATTTGAACATATTAGGATACATTTAGTAAAACGATAAATTTTATCAAGTTTTAACAGATGATGATATATCCTTACACAGAGATAAAATTCATCTCTAGTAAAATTACCCTAATCACTATACCAGTTCGGATAGAAAGTACCTAATTACTTTTGTTTTTCTATACCATTCATATCATTATTATGCAAAATAGACCATTCCATATATAAGATAAACCTATATTATCAAATGTTGATGTATGCACTAAATCCATTTAAAGCCAAACACGTTATGTGTACCTTGTTATGTATACAATATTTTATACAATATACCTGATAACTTACTTGGATTTGTAATAATTTCTTCCAAAAGTTCCAACATTCTAAGTCTCGCCGGTTATAATTACAAGTCACACATGAATATAGCCACGCCTGACTTATTTACATATTTAATGCATTCGAATTTGTGCTTTTCGGGAATAAAATACGCAAACTTGTAAATGGCGTGATATATATTGTAGAGTTTTATTCCTTAAAAGAAAAGAGAAACGGTTACCGCATATCTTCCGGTTGTATTTGTCTAGATCGATGTCATACCGTTCATGCAATTGCTTATTATGTTGAACTCTTGCTTTGTTTTTTGGTCTTTACTTTTTTTTATTTGTTCGGGGTGCTTATGGGGGTTTTTAACGACCTTGACTGGCTACAAAGCCCTCGCACGGTCGGTATTCGGGGTGTTCTTTTGTTGCTGTGTTCTTTTGTTGCTGTCTTATATAGACGTACACAACACAACTGTTTTTTTTTATATTCGACAACTTTTACAATTCATCTCTTAAGCTTGTGTTACGGATCTAACTTTAACTTGTATGTATGTTTTCAGATTTCTACATTTATTGTTTTTATTCTACTGTTGGACTACATAATGACTGTAGAAAGTGCCAGTATTAAAAAATGTACCCGGCCAAGTAGACGGACAATGAGACGGATACGAGCTGAGTTCTTTCGTAAACTTAAGAGAAGGTTACACGATAGTTTTGGATCTTTAACACATCTTACACAACAAACAGTTCGAAGGTCAACTAATGAAGGACAGAAATATGTTCACAAACGACACATTAGTGATGACCCAAAAGAAGGAAGATGTCCAAGAAATAAATATGTAGAAGAATCTTGTCCGCATTACTTCGTTTTGGATGTAGACGATAATAGGATACCAGAAGTAATTCTCCAAGCTAAATGTAAATGTTCTAAATGCCTGGAGCTCAATTCGTATGGTTCATTTCAAAACAGTTCATATGCTGGATGTGAAACTGTAGATTACTACAGCCGGGTTCTTCGTGTTACCAATTGTGTAAATGGTTATTTTAAATATGACGAAGTTTGGGAACCAGTGGCAGTAGCATGCCGTTGTACTAATCAACGTCAAGTTCGGGTAAACGCATAGAAAAGTATGCTTGTGGCTTTTGTATGTCAGAAAATACCAAGAACGCTTGCAGTTTTTTCTATGTCAGAAAGTACCAAGATATAACAGATCTTAACTAGTTGAGTTAATAATATGTGTACTCATCATATGAGAATAAATCGCGGATATTTATAGTAAAATGATATAGAATACCCCAACTCCACGTCTTCAATCAAGGACATTTTTAACATCTAGTTCAATTCCAGAAAACAATAAAAAACCATTATCCTTCGGATAAGCTAATATTACTTAAAAAAATACAATTGTCAATCATTTGTACACTGAAAGAATTGCTACTGAAATTTTAGTTTACGCACTGAAAGTCTTGGAATAGATTTTAACGTTACTGAATTTCAATGACAGAGTAGGAAGTAAAGCACATACAGAAATGCGAATAGAAAGAAAGAATAATACAATTAGAATTTACTGGAAAAGAAAAAGAAAAAAAACGATGTATTCAGTCAGCAAAAAAAATGTGTAGTCTTCATTGCAAAAGTTGATAATATCGGCAATTCTGGCACGATTGAAAAAGCGTCCATTTCCTTTAACCTTTTATATGACATGTTGTTTGCCAAGCCTTCACTGCCAAACATTGTATTTCTAGTCATCAATTATATATTTGTAAATTGTATTCTTTTTTTGATTAAAAAGGAATAAAAAGTCTTGATAGGAAATATTATATAGTTATGTCGTGTGTGTACCTAATAAGTTATTGCTTGACTGTCTAAAGAATGATGGGTAAAAAATGCGTGGAAGATTGCAACCCAAAGATACCAAAGCGTCGGCAATTACAATTGTATTTTATTGTGAAAACGTTGAAATTGTTGATATCTACTAAGGTGTCGCATTCTCATCTGATGGAAACTGGACTAACCATATAAATAATATTACAAAGTATCATGCATTAAAACAGGTAAATATACTAAGGAACCTAAAGTTTACACTTTCCAAAAAACAGCTTATCATAAATATATAGCTTTTAAAAGACAAATTTTGGAACATGGATGCGAAGCATGGGATAAGTGTTTTAATGTGAATTAAATAGATAAGAAAAATACAAGTAGAAAGCTCCAAATATAGTAATAGGGCTAATAAGATTGGCAATCTTAGAAGTATTATAAGTCCTATATTTCGAAACTGGCTCCGAAGTCTTAGCAGAAAGGCGTTGACACCAATAACTAATTATTTTCTACCTAATGTATAACAAATATTTAGTCGAATGTCTACGTTCTGGTACTAGTAATCTGAAATCATTGGATAAAACGTTAGATATAATGATAAGTATATATCTTATGTCGTGCCCTACAAAATAGTCAAATAGGAAACAATCAGGAAATGTAAAAAAGTGTCATCGTAAATTCAGTTGGGTACAAAAAAAATAAGATAGGAGATTGCTTGTAATCATCGATTTTATGAGATAGTATATTTTACTGCTACTCAGACTTTGCAAAACGTCATCAGTGTCTGAGCAGAAAGTTAATGCACCAGGATCCTTTTTCTAAAAAAGTTCATCGGATTCCAAAGATACCAAGACCTTGTTGATAAATATTACGTATCAACTTTGCAAATAAAACATGATGGTCTTGAAGTACAGATACAATGTACTGACATTGTTTATCATCTTTTAAAATTACGTGTTATAGTGTTCTTTTTATTTGTCTTTTTATATTTTTAACCTTTACTGTTTAGTCCATTTGGTAATATCCTTTTGGCGTGGCTCGGTATTAATACATCCCACAATCATTTTTAATTTGTATTCTTGTCTTTCATTTTTCCGTATGTGCTTTGTCTATAGAGTTTCTATACTAGTCAACAAAAGAAACGATACAAGGCAATGTATTTTCCATATATAATGAAATTGGATACACTGTACCAAGGTAAATAATTGCCCAATTGGTCTAATATTTACACAGTGTTATTTTCATGTCAAAACCATTGATTTAAGGCAAATCCGCGATTTCTTTTTTTAGCAATTTTTGTTATTTAAAAAATCGTATTTTCACCCAAAAATTCAAAAATCGATATCAAAATTTAAAACTTTAAACTTAAACATGGTGTGCTTAAAATTTTGAATGCCTTTGCAGAAATTTAAATACTTATTTCTCATCTTCGAAATTAAGTGCCGACTTTTGTCATCATTTTCCGCAAAATAAATTTGACCCCTGTGTTCAATAACACGGTATTTTCTCACTTTCCGATTTGGTCAGATTCTTTCAATCATATGCATTTGCTTTGCAAATAAATGTTTTTCATTGGATAATTAAACATTTTTCCTATTTATTATATTTTATAATAATTTGAGTTGAAACTTGTGTATCATTAGTTTTGTTGACTAGTATATATGCCATTTTGTTTTTTTTTTCTGTTGACATATTTCTTTGTTTTTATAGTGATTAAGATTATAACACAATGTTGACCGCTGTACCCAAATTTTTGACATTTTTACCCATTATGTCTTTGTTTTGCTCACACATTGTTGTAAATATAATGAAGTTCTATGCGACTGTCATAGAACTAAGAGGTTTAGCTAGCTATAAAACCAGGTTTAATCAACCATTTTCTAAATAAGAAGATGCCTGTATCAAGTCAGGAATATGACAGTTGTTTTCCATTCGTTTGATGTGTTTGGGCTTTTAATTGATTTTGCCATTTGATAATGGACTTTCCGTTTTGAATTTTCCTTGAAGTTCGGTATTTTAGTATTTTATTATATTTACAGTCTAACTTTAAGACAGAAGGCTTCAAACGTATGATAAAGAATAAAACTATTTTTGAGACAGCTTTGAATATCAAATTTGCCATGTGTGTTCGTTTGTGTTGCACATAACATCAATCGGACACAACTGTTAGTAACCCGGAAGAGGAAGTGACTGTTTATAGAAAAAGTAGATTATTGTATCGTTAAACAACAGGTAAATTGATTAGGTAAAGATAAGTGTAACTGTATATAACTGATTATTTTTTTTTATCCAGGAAGCATATAATCATACTAAACATCAAGTTTTCCTGCAAGAACTTAAATGACGTCATACAATTGTAGCACTATGGGAAACAAACTGACTTGTATCAAAAATACATTGCAAATTTTAGATCTACGAGGTAAATGTCAATTTGGTTAGCAAGCTGACAATTGTATATTTTGATCCTATTATCCTTATAACGGGTTTTTATTTGTGTTTATGCAATATTTGTGGGGTTTTTTTTATTGTGGAGAAAAGAACAAGTTACATGAATGTATAGATAAAAGATGAATCCATCTCATTTAACAAATTTTCTATTTTTATTTCTGTTAAGTAATAGAAAATTTAACAAAACATTTAAAACTTCACACACTTTGTAACTTGTGAATGATTCATTTGATCCATATGGTTAATACGACATATTTACATTTTCCAAAGAAAAACGGAAGGTTTCTGTATGACACAAGCAACGGGGATCAGGATTCACACAAGCTGTGTAGTTATGTTAATAAAAATCATATTTTTTACGAGATAGTTATTAATTCATATTCAACAATTTTAAGACACACACACACACGCACACATATATGATAGAATGTGCAAACTTATATAGATATCTCGGAATCACATTTACATCTAGTGGTATATTCAAGCAGTGTAAAGATGAATTATACAACAAATCTTTAAAAGCATGTTTTAAGCTACAGATGTGCTTGTCATCATCTAACCCTAGTATTGCCACTTTTTTACATCTTTATGATCATACAATTAAACCCATACTATTATATGGCAGTGAAATATGGGGAATGTTTCGTACTGATTCAGCTGCATGTAAAAAAGATAATGATTATATATTGGAAAAAGTTTTTGGTCAGGATTCCTCTGAAAAAGCTCATAACAAATTTATGAAATATATTCTTGGTGTAAACAGAAAGTCCAGTAACATAGCTGTGATGTCAGAGCTTGGTAGATTTCCTATTTATTTTACTATAATTTTATCAATGTTAAAATATTGTCATAGACTGGAAGGTTTGAAAGAAGGATTATTATTTGATGCATTCATATGTTGTAAACAATTACATATTTCTAATGTAAATACATGGTACTCTAGTATAGATTATATTCAGAGAGAGATTGATTTACCAAATTTTGACCAATCAATTGGTTCTTTATGTCAGTATGTTAAAAATAAACTATGTGAAAGTTATTTAACATTTTGGAATAGACTGAAGTATCAAACAATTAACTCTGAAAAAGGGAAGCTTGGTACTTATTTTTCTATAAAAAATTGTTTTAAAAAAGAAAAATATTTAGAACTACAGGATTTTAAAAAAAGACAGTCAATTTGTAAATTAAGAATAAGTGCTCACTCTTTAAAAATTGAGACAGACAGATATTCAAAAAAATATATAGAAAGATCTGAGCGTCTTTGTTCAAATTGCTCACTTGGTAAAGTTGAAGATGAGCTTCATTTTTTGTTAGAATGTCCTCTTTATGATACTCAAAGGGAAGACTTTTTTCAATACATATCTGACAATTGTTATAATTTTAAAAATTTAAATAAATCTTCTAAATTTGTATGGCTCTTGACTCAAGAAAATGTAACTCTTATGGAAAAACTGGGCTGTTATATTTGTGACTGTTTTGAATTAAGGAGATCAGGTATGCATATTGACACTAAGTCAAGTAAATGATTTGAGAATGAATGCATATAATGTAATTTTATTCTTTTATTCACAATATGTGTGGATTTTGGCTCTGATTCTGACCAATGCTAATATACTAAATATATATTTTCAAGTGACTATTATTGTTGTTGTTACCAATTATGTAAATCAATTGTATCTGATTTTATGCCCTTTATGGGCCCTGTGATTTGGGAAATAAAAATATTCTATTCTATTCTATTCTATTCTATATGCAGATATACAGACGGCTTCATATGAAAATTAAATCATATTATACGCGACACAATTATTTTATGTTTTGAAAGTTGATTATCTCATAATTATCTTGCCTTGCATGACATACTTACTGCTGGAGAAAAAATAAAATCATTCCACGGTAGAAAAACGCACCAAAGAGAAAATATAAAGTTTTTTTTTAACATATGACGGTATGCTGCATTTGGGATATATGTTCGAATATACATTTTTGTGATAATTGTGTTGATTTGATTTTAAACATATTTTATTCATTAAAATATGAAAAAGATTGAGCACAGCCTATAAAAGCTCTCTCCATATTACATGTACAAGGTATAAATCAAATATTAACAACTGTATTTAAAATTATATTATATAGTGGAAAATGCATGCTACTTATGAGCACACACAAACAAATACTTATTTACAGTTTTAATTACTGAATGTATAGTATATTTAGGTGTGTAGGCAATTAATCATCATTTATTCAAGTATCTTGAGATATGTAACGTAAACTATTAAAGTAAGAGCTAGTTCTAGTAAGTGCGTTCGGGGGGGGGGGGGAGGGGGGTATTATTTTCATTCCTCAAAGTATAAGGGGTTTGTCTGGGAAATTATGACTTGACTAACTCATATAAGTATACAGGTATCATACCATTTAATATTTTACAGTATAATCTTATGTTTATTTCGTCTATTCTCCAGCGACGTTTATGTTTATGTCTTGAGGAAATACGTTGTAGTCCAGTAATAGTTTTAGCAGCTTCTATTTGAATTTTTTCAAGAAGCTCGGACTCATGATGAGAGCAGTTGACCCCAACAACACCACCATGCTTTAATATAGTTCTGATAAAAGCATAGTAAATGCGTATAAGTGAATTCCTGTCAAATAAATGTTTAGCTTGTCGAAGTACAGATAAACGAGTATTTTTAGCTCACCTGGCCGAAAGGGACAAGTGAGCTTTTCTCATCACTATTATAATCATCATAATTATTAGGGTATCTTTTTTAAAAAAAAAGTGTCCAATGACCCCGCCTGTGATCCAACATGACCGTCAAGCATAAAAAATAGAACAAAGGTGTTAAATGCAAGTTTTGTCTATTATCTGGAAAACTGTTATAAATAGAGAAAATCTGACGGAGCAGAAATGTTTAGAATGATGAGATCTACCTATTGTCTATTATCATCAAAACTGTCAGACGACATCTTGTAGGAGTTATTACCCTTAAATGAGAAATTTTACCATTTTTTTCTATTTTGTCTATTATCTTGAAAACTGTAATAGATAGCAAACATCGCAA